TAAAAAAAAAAAAAAAAGGACAAAAAAAAAAGACATTGTGTTTAGATTTCATGTTCTTTAGGGCCGGCCCGTGGCTCACTCGGCAGAGTGCGGTGCTGATAACACCAAGGACACGGGTTCGGATCCTATATAGGGATGACCAGTGTGCTCACTGGCTGAGCGCGGTATGGCTGGTCTAAAAAAAAAAAAAAAGGACAAAAAAAAAAGACATTGTGTTTAGATTTCATGTTCTTTAGGGCCGGCCCGTGGCTCACTCGGCAGAGTGCGGTGCTGATAACACCAAGGACACGGGTTCGGATCCTATATAGGGATGACCGGTTAGCTCACTTTGGTGAGCATGGTGCTGACAACACCAAGCCAAGGGTTGAGATCCCCTTACTGGTCATCTTTTTAAAAAAAAAAAAAAAAAAGAAAGGATTCCGTTTTTTACTCTATTTTCTCGCATGGTTTAGGTTTTTCCATTTAGAATGAATTCAGGTACTATATTATTTGTATAATTAAAAAACAACAAAGGAAGGAAGGAGGAAAGGGAGAGAGGGAGGAAAAATCAAAGAGCGAGAGACCCTGACCCCACTCCCTGGCTGCGAGGCCTGCTCACCATAGGGCGTGGTGGGCCCCAGCTCGCTGGCTGCCTCTGCCATGTACTGAGCCAACAGCTCCCCGTTGGTGACCCGCGAGGGGACCTTCCTGTCCAGCTTCTCATACAGGAACTCCTCCACTCGGGCACCTGTGAGGAGACAGCAGCCAAAGCCACGGGGCTCTTCAGTCCAAGCCCAAAGATGAAAGCCATGGTGACAGAAACAGACCCAGCCCAGGCCCTGCCTCAGGAGCAACTAGCCTGGTGACTTCCAGAATAATCTCTTGCTTATGCCCACCTCAACCCTGTGAGACTGGTACTACTATTAACCCCTCACTGTACAAAAAAGGACGCCAACACTCAGAGATGTGAAGTGTCTGCCTGAGGTCACACAGCTGGGGTGACGGGGCCCAATTCAAAGTCCGTCTACTTCTCCCTTATTAATATGATTTACAGAACATACTACATTTTGAACAATTCCCTGACCCTGGCCTCAAAAGCTCTCCCGAAACTTGATGAGCTACACAGCAGATTTACAGGAAGACAAGCAATGTGACTCCAGGCCACCCTTCCTTTCTGGTAGGTTCTCCTGCAGTTGGTTCTGCTGGCTCCTGGCTCGTGGCATGACTTTGGGCAAGCCCTTTTCCATCTCTAGGCCTCACTGACCTCTTGAAAATGACCGGGTTTGTGTTTTGCCAGCGTCTGCTCCCCAGCATGTTTCCAGACGTTTCTTCAACTTCTATTGCAAAACTTAGCATTTCTGCTGCCCCAGAGATCACCCTGGAGCCAAACACCAAGTCTCCTGTTTTCTTTTAACTGGGCACCCCTCCACCAGCCTTGAGCCCCAAGAGTCTAACAGAAATCCCACTTGCCACCCAGTCCCACCTACATGGCCCAGTCTCACCAGCGCAGCCTCAGCAGGGCCAGTGCTCTGGCCCGTGCCCCAGGCTGGCCCCATGTCCACTCACTGGGGTTGGGCTGCAGCAGCACCTCCGTCTGCCTCAGGATCTTCTCAGTCCAGTTCTTGGTGCTGTCCGCCCGGGCCAGAAGGTTTTCAAAGTGAGCATCAAGTTCAGTCTTCTCTGCCTGGCCAAACTTCTCCTCTGTGAACTGTGAGGGAGGGCCGAGGGGTGGGGAGGGCTCAGAAGCAGGTGGGGGGCAGGGGAAAGGAAGGACTGCCCCTGACCACACCCACCTCTCCTCCCCACCTGGAGTTAGGCCCCAGGGTCAAGGAACTGGCTCTACAGGCTGTGCTCTGTGACCTTACAGGGTTGCAAAGTTACATTCCCACTTTGAGCCTCAGTTTGCCCCTTTGTGAAACCAGGTGGTTGGACCAGGGTCTGGGCATCATGGCTTCTTCTGGAAATCCAATGAAAGCTGTAGGCTGTCTCCCCTCAAAAACACATTCGTGCACAATCTGGCACACAATTTAGAGGGGCAAGAAACCCTTGGGAAGCCACCCTAGAGTCCTTTGTGCCTGCCTCCGAAGGACAGGACTTGGTAGAACATGCTCAGGGAACAAAGAGGGCACAGAGCAGGGTCTGTGGTTATCAGGGAGCTCTATGGGCAGCTGGGAAGGGGGTGCCAGGGGAGGGAGTGGGAAGAACTCAGGTTCTGGAATCAGAGGGATCTGATCCAATCTTAGTCCTGCTTCTGTTAGCTGTGCGACCTTGGGCAAGGGGCTTTGCCTCTCTGAGCATCAGTTTCCTGTTAGGTTCAGTGAGACGGAGAAGAGAGAGAGACCCAGGCCAGGTGCCATTTCAGCCAAAAGCTTTATTCCACTAACGTCGAGGGGAAACTGAGCCAGATCAGTTCCCCCGAACCCAGGAAAGCAGGAGGTGTATAAGACTTTCAGGGAGGGTTCTGACAGAGTAATGGGCAATTTTGAAATCAGTGCTATGCAAGGTGACACAGTCCTTGTGATCAGTTAGGGCACAGGCTCTTGATTAGCCACTATCTCAGTACCAAGCATTCCAGCCCCAAGCCTGCTAGACGCAGCCCACAAGACGTTCCTTAGAGGAATCTCAGTTCCCGGAGCAGAAAAGGGAAAGGGGAGGGCGAGGAAGAGGAAAGTCGCTTAACCTGGCTGTGCTGATGTTAAACTAGCCATGAGGCCTAATACTTCCTAAGCTGAAAAATGGGGACAATAACAGCACCTGCCTCATAGGTTGTGAGAATGAAACAGGAAAGATGTGGGTTAGACACGAAGGCCAGGATCTGGCACAGAGTCGCTGTTCCATGTAAGCTGGCCCCACTACTGCTAAGAGCTGATGGATGGAGGGACATCTGGGAAGGAAGGAGAGTGTGTGCAGAGGGAGGACAGCCAAATGGCTGGTTTCTGGCCACCTGGTGTGGTGGACGGGGAACACCACCAGCCTATCAGAGGCAGCTGCTGAACACACCCAGGGCCCAGGATGTCACATGGGTCCCCGATCAGAGCTGGTGGGGGCCACAAAGGTCACCTAGAAACAACCAGAAAGTGGCCCAAGCTCTGGCCCCTCTGATCTAGAAGGACCCTTGAACAAATGTTCCCATTGTCCAAACAGGGACATCAAGGCCTTTTCTAGCCAGGGAAAAGGGCTTGCCCAAGGTAACAGCCACACAGCAAAAGAGTGAAGACCTGCAGGAGTAAGAGAGGGAGTAAGCACAGGTCCCAATGACCAACCCTGTGCTAAGGGCTTTATACCCACAACCTCACAGCCCTCCAACGCAGCTATGGTCAAGTTTCTCATTTTACAGATGCTGCCACTGAGGCTGAGCGAAGGGCAGGACTGTGCTGGAGTCGGGGTCAGCACGGTCTGGCTGACTAGAGGCCCTTCCCAGAGCTACTGGGCGGTGATGAATCATCCAGAGGCTGTACAGGGAGCTGGGGAGCTGGAAGCAGCCACTAGCCACAAAAGCTGCTCAGCAGACATCAATTATGTAGCAGGGCTTGGATTTCTCTCCGAGGCTTGGCAGGGCTGGGCGGGCCAGGGTGATAGCCTCCAGCTCCCCACCTGGGGCCAGCTGCTTCTGGCCTCCTCCTCCCTCCCCCACCCTGCCAGGCTCTGCCTCCTCTTCCTCACCACATCCCCCAAACTTAGGCCTCCTAAAGTGGTCTCTGGTTTGTCTCTCCCCCTGCACCACGCCCACTGTAGATCTATCACTCACTGGGAGCCAGGCCCTGAACAGGCTTTGCTTCACGTGGCCTCACCCCACAGGCCCTTTGAAGGGGGTCATGTTAGTCCCATTTTCCAGATGAGGAAACCAAGGCTCCAAAGGGCAAAGTCACCTCTCTGGGCTTCTGTTACACCCCTGGAGAATGTGAATAACAGGACCTATCTCACAGAATATTTAGCCTGCACAAAATATGGGCTTGATAAACGTTAGCTGGTATCATCATCTCATCATCACCAATAAAAGGCCTCCCTCGTGTCCCACCTTGGCTCTCAGGAGCTACCCTGACGGTACAGAGGCGTTGCGCTAAGTGTGCACCTTAGCACCTCACCTCCTTACCAAGGTTAACAGCAGCACTTCCCACTGAGCAACCCAGCCCTAACACTTCACATCCTCGCAGGTTCCAGCTCTCGGGCATCCATTCTGTGTCCACTGCTGCCTGTCTGCCTCGGATGACGCCGATGCCTCCGCCTCTCTAGGTTTTGTTGTTATTACTTCTACCACTACCGTTACTACTACTGCTAGTATTAGTACTATCACTTCTGCTGCCCACTCCCACCCCTGCTGGCACCTTCTCCAAATATGCCTTAGTTCTCCTGCCTTGGTGCCCTTATCTGGGCTGCTCCTGCCACCGGGAATGCCCTCCCTGGACCAACTTCACAAACCCCTCTTTCCTGGCACAGGTCAGAGACCCTCCATCCAGAATCACCCATGCGAAAGAGATCCTGCCCTCTGGATTTTCTTCTCAGGGCCACCAAGGCCTTGTTCCCTGCCAGATGGGGGCAGGGTGAGGCTCTTAAAGTTGTCCCTGGTACATGCAGGGGCTGGGAGCTTGCCCAGTATGTTCTGGTGCCTGGCAAGCCACCACCTACACAGAGGAGCTGCCCACATATTGATAACGAAGGACCTCCTCCCATCCCTTTTGGCTGACTTCCATGCCAGGGCAGCCCAGCCTCAGGCAGGTCCTCTCTGTGCCCTCTCCTTCCAGGTCACATTTCAGGCCCTTCTCTCCTCTGGCCTGCCACCCTGTTCCATTCCTGCCAAGGCGAAGGGTTTTGGTGCTTGAGTTGGAGGCTACTCTTTGCAAGATGGCAGCAGCAGGGGGTAGGCGTGCAGAGCGGAGAAAGCCTCTATTTATAAAGCTTCCAGCTCCCTCCTCCATCCTGGAGGCTGGAGCTTGGGTGTTGGCTCCCACTGCCTGACTGTGTGGGCTTGGCCCCACCATGTGGAGTAAGGCCACAGAGCCCAAGCCTCCCCACGCCTAGCCTAGGCTCTACTCTGCGGACCTGGCCAGGTCAGATGGCCGGCCCAGCAGTGGCAGGAAACTGGCAGATCAGGTTCATCCAGATGCAGGAGATAGCATGGTTGCCATACCAACACTGGGGACAGTTCCCCACCTCCCAGATGGACTGGTGCTATATAGAAAGGGCTCTAGGGTTGCCCACCAGGCTTGGAACACTATACAGGGAATTCTCGCTGGGACACTAATCCTCAAGAAGACACTGCACTTTCTAGTAAACATGGCCACATGGGTTTCCAAGAGACTGGCTGGGGCTGGGCTCCTGGGAGGGGGGGTGGGGGGCAGGGAGGAGTGGGGGGTGGAGAGTAGAATACTCAGCAGGGCCAACAACAACAAGGACAACACAACAGGACCTGTTTCCAGAGCACTGTGATGGGCCAGCCCCTGGTCTGCGGAATCTTGCAGAATCCCACAACCACCCTTGGAGGCAGACAGGGTGTTACACCTGATTTACAGAAGGGGAGATAGAGGCTCAGAGAAAAGTGACTTGCCCAAGGTCACAAACTGCACCGTTGCAATATTAATCACATCGACACCAATAATGAACTTGCTTTTAGTGAGCATGCACATGAAGAGTCCCACAGAATCGTCACATCCATCTGGGAGGGAGGCATACTAATCTCATTTTTCAGATTGAGAAAGTGAGGTCCTGTGAGGTGAAGCCCCTTCCCCCAAGGTCACAGGAGGGCGCATTTGTGCCCCTGACTCTAGGTCTGCAACATGACATTAAGCTGCTTCAGTTTCTTTTCCTGCCCCCAAATGGATAGGGCTTGTTCCAGTCTCAGTATCACTAGCCCGGACAGCTTCCCAAGGAGGGTGCCCAGTCAGACCCCAGCCCTTCCCCCTATTCCCTAGGCCTAGGGAATAAGAGGAAACATGCCTCCATGGAGCAGAAAGGAAATAACTCCTGGCATCCGGTTTGACTATCCAAGCGTGTAAAAGGGACCTGGGGAGTCATAGCAGCACCAGCCCATTGCACAGGTACGGAGACTGAGGCTCGGATAAGGGGTTGCGGCGGGTGCACGAGTCCTGCCACAGGCCTGGGACCCATGCCTCCAAACGCCCGTCGGGAGCCAGAATCACTGCTGGACAAGGACAGGGAGGTGGGAGCCACCCTCTGCGCCCTCCCCTCCTCAGCTGGGCAGACGCCAGGGCGGCGGGGTAACTGTCGCCAGTCGGAATGGCGAGCGCTGGTACCTCCCCGCAGGCAACCGGGCAAGGCCCGGCTCGGCCCCGGCCCGCCCAGGGCTCCTTCTCTCTCCTGGTCAGCACAGAAGGAGCAGGAGCTCAGGGGGCTTGGGGTGCCCCCGCAGCAGGGACGGCGGCGGCAGCATGGCAGGGACTTCCCTGCGTCCCCAGGCTCTGCTGCAGGGTGCTCCCCGCCGCCCCACATCCGGGCCCCGGACGCACGGCGCGGCGCCAGGCCTCACCTGCACTGCCCGGGTGAAGAAGATGCCCGCGTCCGACGCCAGTTTCTTCATGTTGAAGTCCATAGCGCGCCCGCACGGCCGCTGCGCCCGGCCCTACCGCAGCCGGCAGCCTCCGGCGCCGCCACCG